GATATAACTCCAAAGGGCTTCAGGTAGGCTGCTGAGAATTTGACTATTGCTTTCAATCTCCTTTGAAAGAAAAAGAGAAAAAACATATCAAACTAATGTAAAATGGTTCATCTGTGTTTGAAAATGTCGTGATTTCAGGATGGGGTGGGGGAGGGAAGGGGGTTGTAGCAGCGCAGGTAAAAGTGAGGAGGTACTTGGGGAGTCGGATGTCCGGCAGGTTGTAGTGTGTCAGAATTCCACCATATTGAGTCCTTGAGTTTTTGTACCTAGGAGGCTGATGAAGTAAAGTTCATAGGCCTGTCTGTGAAAAGTGGTTTGTTCATTTGAATCAGGCAAGAAATGACAATGTTATATCCAGTTTTGTGCTTCCCCATTATAGCCTATGGGCGAAACATCAAAACGGCATCAAAACAGCAAAACACTTTTAATGAAATGAAACGGAACAGTCATTTTAAAATGAAATGAAACTCAAAATGAAACACTGTCCCATCAAAATGGAAGTCATAATGGAACGGTGCTGTTTTGTACAGCCCTAATATTCACCACCCCTTTTTACATTCCCTGGGTGGGTCTGACCATCAAACCATTCTTAAGGGGATCATCCTCAGACAGCCAACACTAGGCAAAGGGGGAGGTATGAGCTCCTGCCCCCTGAAGATGCACATTACAGTTCCCTATCATCAGAGGAGGATCAGCTGTTGTTGGGTGACATTTGCCCCACATAGTCTGAGGGGGATTGAAAAAACAGTATTTCCCACTTCTCCAGGAAGTGACCTAACCTGGGCGTAAGCTAGGTAGGGCTACAGGTATCTTGTATCAGTGATATGGAAGCTGAGCCACTGTACAGAAAGGAATAGATGGGTCCAGAAAGAGACAAAAGAAGAGTGAGCCTGGCTCATAAACCAGTAAGGGTGGACTCGCCTGGGAGGGAGGGGACCCTGGGGTCTGGCCCCTGCTTCCAATGCTATTGATACATTTAATGTAGTGGCTAAAGAAAAATACATAAACAGCACTGAAAAATAGACTTTGCATTTGTCAACAGTGACTGACCATCCTCCTGGCTTTCTTAGGTGCCTCACAGCCTCCTCTAGACTTAACTAACATACCTAAAGATGCATCTGCAGATTTTGGCCCTTCATTGTTCATCATGATTTTCAGTTCATTAATACAAGTACTAAAAGAGATTGTTCTCAATGTGGAACCTTCTCCTAACTAACCTTTCATCCATGCCATGTCTTCTGTCCCAGAGCTGATCCATGGTTTCTGATGCATGACAATTCTTTGCCTTTCACACCATAATTTCTTCATTTCCTTAACAGTCTCTTATGAGGGACTTTGTCAAAAGTTTTTTGAAAGTCCAAAGTAAGTTGCATCATCTGGTTCTCAGCCACAAACAAACAAACAAAGGACAATACCCTGAATTCTGCTCAAGAAGCAGCACCATTGAGAGACGTCACGTTCTCTCTGACATATGCTACTTTTCTCTCCTTGACTGCTGTCTCCGTAGCGGTCTGCTTTTTCCTCCTTGTGGGGCCTGAATTGTTTGTCGCACTCATGGATTCCAGTAGCTGTGGTTGGACTCAACACAGCTGGGACATCTTCTCTGCGGAAGATCTGTGTTGCAGAATGTGAAGAGGTTGCTACATGGAACCTGTTAAGTGAACCAGCAGAGCGGGATGAACATGAGATTGCTCTCCTTCTAGTATACATGCCTCTTTGACAAAGGCTTTTACCACCACAGCTTTATACCTACACAGGAAACTAACTTGGACTTTATAGCACCATGCATTTCACTTCTGACCTTGAAATTCTGGGTTATGTTTACCTTTGGGTTAATTACATTGACAGCAATTGGAGTACATCATAAAAGAATTTGACCCATAATATGCAAGGAGATCTCTCTCTGAAATATTTTCACAATTTCCAAAAAGCCCTCAAAAGGCTTTGAGAATTTTTGGAGCACTCTTATACTTATTTCCTAATAAATTTAGGGTTTTCCTTTTTTTTAAATTCTGTTTTAGGGTAGAAGGGGAAGATGCAAAATGGGTTTGTGCCACAGTCCAGTATTTTATAGCTAGCTGGAATCTGATATCATGGGCCTAAAAATGTTCTTATCAGCTTAACTTTAAATGCAGGATGATTTTCAGTATGAAGCTTGGAAGTATATTTTTAATCCTAACAAAATGTTTGCAGCCCAGATGCAAACAGTTGTCTGAAGTTAACTTTCTGCATGTTTTTCTTTATTTAGTTGCTGTATCAAGAATGGGCAAGATATGGAGTATTTTACAAGTTTCAGCCTATTGACCTCATCAGGTAATAGATTTGATTAAAATAATATTGGGCTTGATTTTTAGCTGCTGTAAATTAGTGTAGCTCTATTGGCTGACCTGCGTGAAAGATTCTAGCCTTTGATTTTAGAGCATTGGTTATGTTTCTTCTTAATGTTCACTAACCATTTCTATTCCATTAAGTAATAGCATATAACAAGTCATGCACACCAACAAAATATTATGTCACCTTTTGTATTTTGCCTCTTTCTGGATAAATATAATATTTCAAAAGTTCATAAATTCACTTAAATAAAAACTATGTTCTTATTCATAACAGTGACATTTTGTTTGCAGCCTGCACTGAAAGTTTGGTGAATAATTAAGTGAAGATGTTCACATGCAGCAGTTTCAGCCAAAGTTGTTTGCCTGAAGATTGTAAAATTGCTTTGGTTTCCCTCTCCCTCACTATGAAAGTATCAGTCACTCTCCCTCACTATGGAAGTATCAGTCACCCAATCAGGGAGTAAAAAAAGTGTTATCAGACTAGACTTGATCAAAATGTTTTAAATTTCAAAATCTCAATGAAATTTCAAATTTAACCCTAGTTGGGTTACAATTCTTGTGGCCATCTCTAAAACATACAGATGACCAGTCACTTACCACAACTATGGAACTGTCAAAGGGAAAAGTTCATAAAACCAAAGGTTTGAAATATCTTCATGTGGAATGTTTTTATAGTAAGAAATACAGTGGTAAAAACAACTTGTGGATAGATGGCTTGTGGATAGAAAAAAGGCTAGAGTTGTCACAAAATTGTATATTATGAATCATTAATCCAACTTCAACTATGGGGTGTGCCTGTTTTTGGGAGGGAGTATATGTTTCCTCCTCCTTGCTTGTTACACATTTTAGGCCAGCTCCTTGTTAATAACATTTTGGCCTGTTAGAAGTTATCTGTAGGATAAAACTGCTAACATCACCTCAGTGAAAGCTGGTTAGAGCAAATGGTTTGCGGCCATGCACATTTTAAAGCCCTGTCAAATATAGAGAGATTGTAGAAAGTTGACAGCTCATCTGGGATTACGAATGGAAGTGCATTTGCTTAACCTACATCTTAATTTAGCTCTGTTTCCTGTACCCACAATAGCCTTTCACTGCATTGCTGTTTTCATAGAAATTCTGCACTGGATTCTTTTTTCTTGTGGATAACATTATTCCTTGCTTTTATCATCCATAGTTCACTTTAAGGAAGGGTTGACTGTCTGTTATCACTGGAAAAATGCATTTCATGTTCTAGGTATCAGAATCAATTAGAGCATACACACACACTTAGCCCTCCACCTTTTTTCCCCCAGCTTTTTTTTTGCCCTGACAGAAGTGTGTACATTAGTATGTCTTCACTCTGCAGGGATCTGAATTCAGTTTTTAAGTGAAGATTCTTACGCTCCAGCCAAGGACTACATAGATGATCATGGGAACTATAGAACAGTGAGTCTTACTTCTACTCCTGGCAAATTGGTAGAATTTATAATAAAAAATAACAGCAGCAGTCACATTGATATATATATATATATATATATATATATGTGTGTGTGTATATGTGTGTATATATATATATATGTGTGTATATATATATATATATAATGTAGTAGGAAAGAATCAGTTTGTTCTGTAAAGAAAAATCCTTTCTCACCAATCTGCTTAAGTTCTTTGAGAGTGTTAACAAGCATCTGGACAAGGGTTTCCAGTTGATATAATGTAGTTGGATTTTCTAAAAGCGTTTGACAAGAATGTTCTGAAAATGGACTTGCCATAGGACTGGAGGGAAGATTCTTTTATGGATTAGACCCTGGTTAAAAGATAAGAAACAACAGGTGACTTTATAGGATGGAGGATGGTTAGTAGTAGGGTCCTTCAGGGATCTGGACTGGGCCTGGCTTTATTCAACATTTTGGTGAATTACCTAAAAAAGGGAGTACACAATGAAACCTCAGAATTTGAAGATGATACTAAATTACTGCAGATAGTCAAATCCTAAACTGGTAGTGAGAAGCTGCAGAAAGAATTCACAAAACTGAATGGTGGGCATAAAAGTGGCAGATGAAATTCCATGTTGGTAAGTGCAAAGTAATGCATATGGGGAAAAATAACCTCAACTCTTCATACGCAGTGCTGAGCTCTGCACTAGCTGTCATGACCCAGGAGAAAGTTCTAGGAGTCATTGTAGGTAGTTCTTTAAAAACAATGGGTCAATGTGCAGCAGCAACCAAAAAAATCAATAAAATGTTGGGCATCAAGAAGAAAATCAAAAAACAAAACATAACACAAATAAATCCATTGTGCGCCCACAACTTGAACACTGTATGAAGTGTTGGTCTTCAATTCTCAAAAATAAAGTGATGGAATTAGAAATGGTACAGAGAAGTGCAACAAAGTATGGAACATCTGCCGTTCCAGGGTAGACTAAAAAGACTAGGACTTCTCAGTTTGGCAAGGAGAAGGCTGAAGGGGGATATAATAGATGTCTATAAAAGGCTGTCGATAAAGTGAATAGGGAAATGTTATTTACCAAGCACCAGAATACAGGAACAAGGGAAACTCACTGAAATTAACAGGAGACAGGTTTAATACAAGTGAGAGGAAGTTCTTTTTTACAGAACATATAGTTAACTTGTAGAACTCATTGTCACAGGGAGTTGTAGAGGGAGATAGTATAACCAGGTTCAAAAAGGTATAGACAAATACATGAAGGACAGGTCTATTAATGGCTACTAAATAGAACAGTCAAGGATTTATACTATGATCTACCTAAACTAATAACAGTTGATTACCAGGGGTGTATGACAGGAGTTGGATCACTCCAGACATGCCCTTTTCATATACTGTCCCTCTAAAGGATTTTTCACTTTTGGAGCACATTATATATTAACTAACTCAGGATGAGTTGATTAAAACATTAATTAAATGCAGATGCAGACTGAAACACCATTTGCAACAATGGGAACCTTCCCACCATCCTCATTTCATATCTGGTAAACAGTCACACAGGCAAGTGCTAATTCAAGATGCCTATGTTGGGAGACTGTTAACTTTTCACGTACAGAATTAATGCCCTGTCGAACAAACATTAAACACCCCCAGTCTCCTGGCCCCAGTTTCCAAGTGATGTACACTTGCAGCTGTAACCAACTGCTAGGAATTGCATTTTTTCTGTGCAGATTCTTGACACAGGCCAGGAATCTTAAAGTCCCTGCTGAGGTCAGAGGTCCTTGGGGAGAGCTAGTTGTCACTGAACTTGGCTTATGTAGTACATTTTCATTTTCTTCATAAAAATAAACGAAAAAGCGGAGACATCCACTCCCTCCTATATTTTAATCATTGAAAGCACACTGCCTTGGCTTTGTGCTCCCCCTTGGGGGTACATGGGAAAGTCAGCTTATTGTAAATCAGTGAAGGGAAAGTATTCAGTGAATGAGAACAGCGTAGATGTTACACATTTCTAATCCGCAAAAGCTCTATTTCAGTGTAAAGGTTTTTAGGGAATATAAAATACAGATATATCTGAAACTGATTCATTAAAATGCAAGTAACACCCACTCTCTGAGTGTTACCAACAGATATTAAATGTAAACTGAATCAGATCCTAGCTTTAGGATACAAAAATTTACTGTCTTAGGGATTAAGGCAAAGTGTTTATCTATGGCTACCTAAATTTAGGTACCTGAACTCATATTTTGTCTTTCTTATAAAAAAAAAAATATGGAGAAAGTTTAGTATTTTTTGAAAGGGGAAATTTAGTTTTTAATTTGCCATGAAGGTGGCAGAGCTGAAAAAAGGGGGGACACTGTTCTCACATGAAAGCATTGGCTATGTCTACATTTGGAAATAAGTGTATCTGTAGCCAAGTTAATTAACAAATATTGAAAATGTAGTGTAGACAAGGAAAGTTGTACTGGTAACATGCTTGCTAGCCTAGGTTTTACTTGTTAAAATTGATCTTCTTATCAACAGAGCACAAAGTATTAATTTCTGTTGGAGGGAGATAGGATGATTTTAGGCAATGCTTTTTTTCCATTTACTAACTTCACAATTTTTTGTCTGTGAGGTAACTCAGAAGAAACTCCTTATCAGGGGTGCACTGGTAGAGGTTTTCAGGGCCAATACTGATAGCTGATATTTAAGGAGGCATATCGGCCGATACCGATCAGATATCTGATACAACTGCCATCAGGTGGTAAGTCCAATGTGGTGGAAGGGGAAGGGGAGGAAAGGGGAGTGAGGAGGCAGATCAATGCCCCCTGTGGTGTGGGAGGTGGCAGGGGCAGGCACTGCTCAGCCGGGGCACTGAGGGGCTGTGGGATGGAGGCACAGCTCATTGGGTGATGCTAGCACCCCAGGATAGCGGAGGTGGGGTCATGTGCCCCCAGATCTTCATGGCATGGGGCAGGTGGCATCTGTGGGGTGGAGCCGGAGCCAGCGCTGCATGGCTTTTCTCACCAGGGCCTGGACTCAGAGAAGGCTCTGGTGGTGCTGGGAGGAGGCTGCAGCCACCCCAAATTTCACTGCAGCTCCTCTGCTTCCTGGTGAATGCCCCTCCTCCACCCAAGCACCAGGAAATGCTGTGGCTGTGCTGGGCAGCGGTATGGGGCTGGGAGCAGAGCTGCGGTGTGTGCACCTTCCCCCCGCCCTCCCAGGGGTGCATGCAGCAGTGGAAGCCATCCCATGTCCCCCGGACCCTAGCTCTGGCTGGGCAGTGCCTGCCCCTGCCCCCACCTTACCACGGGCATTGGAAGGGAGGGAAGGAGCACTGGGGGGCAGATCAGTTTACCAGTTGGAGGCAGCTCTCCATGCTGCCAGCTCTGCTGCATGCTGCACCATGGCTGTGTACAGCATGGGCATTTATTGAGCAAATTATCACCCCAATAGGGCTGATATCTGATATCGACAATTTTCTTCATATTGGTACCGATCTGATATCGGACTGATGTATTGGTGCACCTCTACTTCTTATATAAGGTAGTGGAGGTTCATGTAGTTTTTATA